ATTGCTGAAAGAGGTGCTAAATTTATGATGAATTTTTTAAATCAACTGCTAAACTATTTTCCAAAGTGACTGTACCATTGTGCATCTCAACAAAAATGTATCAGAGTTTTAGTGGCTTCAGATCCTTGTCAACACTTAATATTGTCAATCATTTTAAATTGGTCATACTAAATATGGGAAAATATCTTGTTATGGCTTTAATTTTCATTCTTCATGACTAAAGATATTAAGCATATTTTCATGTTATTACTTGGCAGCTGTCTCAAGTGCAGCATCTATTCAAATCTTTTGCCCATTTTTCAATTAATTTGTCTCATATTATTGAGTTTTAAGCGTTCTTTGTAAATGCAGGAAACAAGTGGGGTTTTTTTTCACTTACATGTTTTGCAAATATTTTTAGCCAGTCTATGTCTCATCTTTTCATTAAGTGTCTTTCGAAGAGCAGAAGTTTTTAACTTTGATTAATACAATTTATCAATTATTTTATTAATACATGCTTTCTTATGCCCTAAGAAATATCTACTTACTAAAGGTGACAAAGATTCCTTTTTATATTTTCTAACTATTACTTTGTAAGTTTTATATTTAGGTTTAAGATCTATCTTGAATGTTTACATATGATACAAAGACTATGTCAAAAGGTTTTTTCAAGGTTCATTTCTTATTTTTCTGGTGCCATTTATTGAAAAAAAAATCCTTCACCACTAAACTATTTTGGTCAGTTGGTCAAAATCTATCAGGGCTGAGATGTAGCTCAGTGGCAAAGTGTTTACCTTGCATTTGCAAAGCCCTGGGCTTGATCCCCAGTTCCAAAAATGACCAAAAAAAAAGGAAAAAAAAAGAAAAAAAAACTGTTGAACATATACTTATAGATCTAGTACTTGACCTCGACTGTGCTTTTTTGATCTGAGTCAGTCTATTGTTATTTCAATATCCTCTATCTTGATTACTGAAATTTTATGTAAGTTTGTAGTGTAAAACCTCCCATTGTGTCTTACTCTTTAATAATTATTTTTATTCTAAATCCTCTTTGTTTTCATTTAAATTTTAAACTCATTTTGCCCCTTTATACAAAAATATTACACTGAGATTTTACTAAGACTGCTTTGAATGCCTAGATCACTTTGAGAAAAATTGACATGTTAAAAATATTGAGTCTTTATTTCTATGAACCTGAGGTATCACCATTTATTTAGATTTTTCTTTCATTTCTCTTAGAAAATTTTTATACTTTTTTGACACTCAGATTTTCAAAATATTTTGTTAGATTGGGTCTTAAGGCATTCCATGAATTTTTTGTTATTACTAGCATATAAAAATACAATTCACTTTTACATTGACTTTTTAATCCCAAAACCTTAATAACCAAAAATAATTTAATAGTCCTAGCATGTTTTATAAATTCCTTAGAATTTTCTATATAGATAAGTATGCCATCTGCAAATAGTTTTACTTTTTCCTTTTCAAACTAAAAGATGCTGTTTTGCTTTTGAATAATTTCACTAGTTTAGAATTCAAGTACCATATCAAAAACAAGTGGTAGGATGGGCATGGTGACACATGCCTGTAATCCTAGTGGCTTGGGAGGCTGAGACAGGAGGATCACTAGTTCAAAGCCAACCTCATCAAAATGGAGGCACTCCGCAACTCAGTGAGACCCTGTCTCTAAATAAAATACGCAATAGGGCTGGGGATATGGCTCAGTGATCAAGTGCCCTTGAGTTCAATCCCTATTACCCTCCACAAAAAAAAAAAATGGTAAGAGCAGATTAATTTCTGGGATAAACCTCACTGGTTCACAGTCTGCAAATTTAGATTCATACACACACACACACACACACAGAGAGAGAGAGAGAGAGAGAGAGAGAGAGAGAGAGAGAGAGAGAGAGAGATTTGATGTTAAATTATTTTGTTAAGGATTTTCAAACCTATTCATGAGAAAAAAAAATAGTTTCTGGTGTCTTTTTTAAAAATTTTTATTGGTTCTTTTTAGGATTCAGTTTGACATAGTTATAAAAAGCATGGAATACATTTTGTTCTAATTCAGTCCCCTAAACTTCTCTTTCCTCCCCTCTTTCCACCCTCTTTTCCTTCCCTCTACTCTACTGATCTTTCTTCTATTATAGATTTCTTTTATTCATTAGTGTCTTGTGGATGTACATGATGGTGAGATTCACTGTAGTATATTCATATATGTACATAGGAAAGCTAGGTCAAATTCATTTCCCCCCTTCCCTTCATTCCCCTTAGTCTACTCCACTGCTCTTTCTTCTATTCTTTTTTCTATCCCACCCCCTTATTTTGGATTAGTTTCCACATATCAGAGAAAACATTCAATCTTTGTCTTTTGGGGACTGGCTTATTTCACCTAGCATGATAGTCTCCATCTATTTACCAGCAAATGCCATAAAGTCATTTTTCTTTGTGGTGAGTAATATTCCATTGCATATGTAGACCACATTTTCTTTATCTGTTCATTTGTTGAAGGGCACCTAGGTTGGCTCCATAGCTTGATTATTGTGAATTGTGCTGCTGTGAACATTGATGTGGCTGCATCACTGTAGTATGCCGATTTTAAATCCTTTGGATATATGCCACAGAGTAGGATAACTGGATCAAATGATGCTTCCATACCTAGTTTTTTGAGAAATTTCCATACTGCCTTCTAGACTGGTTTCCAGTACAGTCCCACCAGTAATGTATGATTTTACCCTTTTCCCCACATCCTTGCCAACATTTATTGTTACTTTTATTCTTCATAATTGCCAATCTGACTGGAGTGAGATGAAATCTCAATGTTGTTTTTTTCTATGTTTTTTTTAAATTTATTTACTTTTTTTTTTTTTTTTTGATGATGATGCTGGGGATTGAACCCAAGGCCTTATTCATGCTAGGTAAACATTCTACCAACTGAGTCATATCCCCAGCCCCTTAATGTAGTTTTAATGTGCATCTCTCTAATTGCTAGAGATGTTAGACATTTTTTCACATATTTGTTGACCATTCATATTTCTTCTTCTGAGTAATGTCTGCTTAGTTTCTTTGCCTCTTTGGGTTATTTGTTTATTTGTTTGTTTGTTTTTGGCATTAAGTTTTTTTTTTTTTTTAGTTCTTTGTATATCCTGGATATTAATGCCCTATCCAAGGAGCAGATGGTAAAGATTTTCTCCAATTGTCTAAAGATAATTCTCTTTTCATGCTCTTGTTTCTTTGGCCATAAAAAAGCTTTTTAGTCTCCATTTATTGATTTTTTAAAATTTTACTTCTTGCACTTCAGGAATCTTGTTAAGGAAGTCAGTTCCTGAGCCAACATGTTGGAGTATTGGGCCTACATTTTCTTCTAGCATTTGCAGGGTTTCTGATCTAATTTCCATGTCTTTGATTCACTTTGAGTTTACTTTAGTACAGGGTGAGAAATAGGGATTAAATTCATTCTATTACATATAGATTTCCAGTTTTCCCAGTACCATTTGTTAAAATGGCTATCTTTTCTCCAACATACATGTTTGGCACCTTTGGCTAGTATCAGATAACTGTAGCTATGTGAGTTTGTCACTGTGTCTTCTATTCTGTATTATTGATCTTCATGTCTGTTTTGGTGCCAATACCATGCTATTTTTGTTACTATAGCTCTATAATATAATTTAAGTTCTTGTATTGTGATGCCTCCTGCTTCACTTTTCTCACTAAGGCTTGCTTTGGCTATTCTAGGCCTCTTATTTTTCCAAATGAATTTCATAACTGCTCTTTCAATTTCTGCGAAAAAACATCACTGGAATTTTGATGGGAATTACATTGAATCTGTATAGCACGTTTGTTAATATGGCCACTTTGATGGTATTAAATCTAAGAACATAGGAGGTCTTTCCACCTTCTTTGGTTTCTTTGTTTAGTGTTCTATAGTTTTTATTGTAGAAATCCTTCACCTGCTTTGTTAGATTGATTCCCAAGTTTTTGTTGTTGTTGTGTGGTGTTATTTACATCACTGACATTAAATATATCTTCTTTTCTAATAAAAACACTTAAAACTATAAATTTCCCTAAAAGCATTCTTCTAGTTCCATTCCATAAATTGTAGTAGATTTTTTTTATATCATTAAGTTCAAAACATTTTTTAACTTTCCTTTTGATGTCATCTTTGACTCATGAGTCATTAGAAGAATGTTGTTTAACTTCCAAAATATTTGGAGATTTTTCCAGATTATTTCTCTTCTCTTTATGGTTTAAATCTTTCCAAAATTGTTAAGTCATATTTATGATCCTGAATGTGCTCTAACTTTGTGTATGTTCAATGTATACATAAAAGTCTGTATTTTATCATTGATAGATGTCAAATTTTACAAATATAAATCAGGTCAAGTTAGTTGACAGTATTGCACAATCTATATCCTTACTGATATGTTGTCTTCCTGTTCATTCAGCTACTGAGAGAGTATTAAAACTCCTATAGTAACTATGGATTTTTGTCAATTTAGTCTTCCATTTCTGTCATTTATTGCTTTGGTATTTCATGTTTCCTTCATGAATTGACACATTTATCATTAGGTAATTTCTCTCTTTATCTCTAGCACTATGCCTTGTCCTCAGTCTTCTAAGTCTGATTTTAATATAGCCACTTAAACTTTTTTACTCCATGTTTTCATGATACTTTTTTTCTATCCCTTTTAAAAATCTATAATGGAGTTAAATTTACTCTCAGTAAGAGTGGCTGGGGCAGGAGGTTTGTAGGTTTAAGGCCAGACTCAGCAATTTGGAGACACTCTCAGTAACTTAGACCCTGTCTCAAAATAAAAAGGGCTGGTGATGTAGCTCAGTGGTAAAGCACTCTTGGGCTCAATCCACAGTACAACAACAACAAAAAAGTAAGCATGAAAAAAAATATTACTCTAGATCTATCCTAATAAATCTTAATAACAAGCTAAAAAAAAAAAGTCAAGCTAATCTCCCAAGTAACACATCTATCCCAGGAAAACAAAATTCAAATTAGAAAGACATCAAAATCCAGGAACTTGACCATTTAGGATTTACAATATAAATTAAAACTGATCACATATGCCAAGGTTCAGGAAGTAGAACCTATAATTGGGGTAAGCTAAGCAATAGAAGTTGACCCAGAAAATGACAGTGATAAAGAAATAGGTGTGAAAGGAAAACTTCAGGAAGTGATGCCCACCGGCCATGCAGGCCTGAGGTATCACATCGTTTCATTTTGTTTTATATTAATGTGGACTCTTCTCAAATGTAGGGCTGCTGCAGCAACCTGTTGCTGATCCCCACCTAAATTTGGCATCTTTTCCTGTCATGTTACACATTAGGCTTAACAAAATGAGGCATGCTATCAACTCAATGTTTATCTCCCAGCCTTTAAATATTGGAACCAAACTACAATGTGCAGGTGTGTTGAGGTAGGGCTTTTGGGAAGCAGAGCCCTTAACAATGGGATTAATATAGTTATTAACAGGACCCACCCTGCAATGTGGCTTAGAGATCGAGGGGTTGCTTAGCATACATGAGACCCTGTGTTCCATATTCAGCACTGCAAAAAGTTAAAATATGAAGTTATGGGGCTGGAGACATGGCTCAGTGGTAAAGTGTTGTAGAGTGTTTGCCTGGCATGAGCGAAGTTCTGGGTTTGATCCCATTACCACACATATAAAAATCACATCAACATACAAACATAATACATAGGACCCAGAAGTCCCTCATGTCTTCCACCATTTGAGGATGCATGAAGGTTTCATCTGTAGACTAGGAAATGGACCCTCATCAGACACCAAATCAGTCAGCATCTTGATACTGGACTTCCAAGCTTCTGGAACTAAGAAAGAGAAATTTTAGTTGTTTATGAGCTACCAAATTTGGTATTATTACAGCAGCCCAAATAGACGAGGACAAAGCAATAATTGTCTCCAATATCCAATAATCGAAGGAACCACCAGACTCCCTTTTGGTAATAGACTCCAGAGGATAAGTAACTTTCTCTGTAATCTCCCATGGGTGAGGTTTTGAGCCTCAGAACACATTACTCCCAAGAATTTGGCTGTTCATTGTATTGCACCAGGATTAAGGAATCACTCCTAGCATCTCATTTGAGTTGCTGAGTAATCTAAAGTCATTGTCACCTTGTGAGGATGGTCTTAGGCCTGAGCCTAAGCAACTCCACTTTAAAAACTCCAGTTTGAAACCCACAGTCTCACTGGCACACCCACAGAGCCCTCCAGTATGGCCCCAAACAAGTTACTTCCCCTCACCCTGATAAACACAGAGAAGCCCCTGGCAGGCTGTCCTCACCTGATGAGAGGGAAAGGCAATAAGATCAGGGTGGAGACCACCAGACTCCAGATGTTTCTGACCCCAGAGTAAATGATGTTACTGAGAAATCTGGTGGTAGCTGATAAGGATTGAAAGGGGGGAGTCAAAAGTCCCAAAAATTTAGTATGAATAATAGAGCTGTTGAACAGGGATTCAGCCAGCTGAAACAAGGATGCACTGGAGCTGGAGAGACTGATGAGGACCTGACATCCCATCACTTGTTGTTTCCTGAGCCTCTGTGCAATCCTCACCACTCTCAAATTCTACCACCTCATCTGGACCCTGATGAGAGCCGCAACTTCTCCCTACAACCCTCTCCTCAACCGGTCGTCCACTCCATGCCAGGAAAAGGCTGCCTTGATTCCGGAAATGGTCACCGTGGTCTGAGTGAGTGTGCATCTGCTGGATGTAAAGCCTAAGGCTTAAGACTTTTGAACTTAGCATGCAGAGGGAATGTCTGTCATTATCCTGTCATGATTAAGTGTGTTTTAGAGTGCTTAGAATTAACCTAGAATTGTTTGCTGTCTATTGCAGTGACTCTGTCTATTGATTATGTCTATTGCAGTGACTAGCATTAAGGATTGTCATTTTCTAGATTAAGAACCTATAGAGTGAAATTGTATTGAGTAATTTGAGTGAATAAAGCATTGAAAGGGGCAGAAGAATGTGGACATTCTTTATTTCTCCCCTCGACTGCATAGATTGCAATTTTGTCCCCTCATGACACACCTATTCTTTAATGGGATCTGTGGTGCAAAGACACTAAAATGGTCTTTAGTAATCCCCACTTCCTGATATGCAAAGTCTAGTTGATCACACCTCTTGAGTAACTTGCTTCTAACCAACAGAACACCTCAGCACTGAGAAGGTACCACTTTTCAATTGTTTAAAATTGTACTTTCCATCTTGCTAGCAGAATTGTTCCCTTTCTGATTGTATGAAACACACTGCTTTGTGGAGACACCCACATGACAAGGAATGGAGGATGATCTTCATCAACCAACCAACAAGGAATCAAGCTCTTAATTGAACAACCCTTGAGAAACTAAATCCCATCAGTAATCATGGGAGTTTAGAAGCTCGTCCTTTCCCAAGCAGGTGTCAATTCATGAAGGAAACCTAAAATACCAAAGCAATAAATGACATCTCAATGAGACCCTAGCTTTGGCTGACAATTTGATTGCAGTCTCATGAGAGAGCCAGCTAAACTATGACACACAGTTCCTGATGTACAGAAACTGGGAGATAATAAATAGGCTATTTTAAGCAGTTAAATTTGGAGTAATATGTGACCCAGTAATAGATATCTAAATTGCACCTGTCAGCCTGATGCCATCAATGCAATAAAACAAAGCCCTATAAAGAAATAGAGATTTGTCTCATCCTCAGCCTGCTCACTGGTGGCAAATAGCATGAGAATTCACATTCTTATGTTGCGGAACCATAGATGTACACTAAAGCCCTTACCAGATAAGGGCAACTGGTCTTGCTTTCCTTCTACTGAAGGGACAATAAATGAATGACATTTGCAATGTCCAGGATAACAATCTAGGTGATAATAGTTTTGATACACACTATCTGAAACAGCTGGAGCATAAAACCTAAATTCAATGGCAACAATTTACCATAAGCCTCTGATTCCTACTAGCTTTTTCAATGGCCACACAGAACTGCTGTAATGAGTTGGATCTCTCAGTACCCCTGCTGCCTGTAAGTCCTTCATCACAGCTTCAAATTCATCTCCTCCCGCTAAAATTCTATATCATTTTCACTGAATAACATGGATGGAACTGGAAGCCTAGTTAGCGCATTCATCTGACTACATACAAGCAACTCCTCTCAATTTGGAAAACCCTCTTGAAATTAAGGAACATCAATGAGAGGAACAAGAGTAGTGCCCAACAGTGATTTAAATAGCCTAACCCAGTTGGTTACAATTACTACCCTTGTACCTTTCACTCCTTTTTTAAAAATCTGGCCAATTGAAAGTACAGTCCTCACCCCTAAAAATACCCCAATAAGATAATCAAATGAAATCTGATACCCAAAAGACCCTTAAAATTTTGTACCCATAAGACTTCATCCCATCCCGTTGTGCTTTTAGAGTATAAGTACCTCTGTTACTTCCAGAATCTGCAAGGCCCTGACATCACACCTAGGCTGACTTCTCATATGTCAGACGAGGCCCAGGCAGGCCCTCAACTTATTTGATCATGAAGGTTGATTGCCATGGAAGAATCTTGCTGTAATACAGCACTTTTTGTTTCAGTTGGGTGGACAACCACCTGCTGGGGCCCCCTTCCCAGTATGTGTGTGTGTGTGTATTTTTATTTTTTGGTGATGCTGAGGATTGAGATTGAACCCAGAGCCTTATACATGCAAGGTAAGCACTCTACCAGCTGAGCTATATCCCCAGCCCCCGGGTTGATATCTTACCAAACCTCTCCAGAGCCAACCACATCTATATTTTCTTGGGAAATTCACCCATTAAGCCATATCTATATGACCTTAATGTCAGATTCTATTAAAGAGGGTTTGGTTTACTCCTGCCCTTGATTTTGTGTCAGATTACATAGACATTGCTTTATTTGAGGACCAGCTCACCCTCTCACTGAGGCCCCATCTTTGGTGACAATTTGATTTTAGTCTTGTGAGAGAGCCAGCTATGCCATGACACATAATTCCTGATGTACAGAAACTGGGAGATAACAAATATGCTATTTTAACCAGTTAAATATGGAGGGTCAATGTTTACCCAGGGTAATCATCACAGTTCCTTGCAAGGTAACCCCAGGTACCAACAACAAAGTCAGTTGATTTCTCCAGATTGAGGGGCAGTTGTAAGAACTCATCAGTCATTCTCTGGGTATAAGGCTTGCTATTGGAGTCACCATTTTATCTGATGAACAACCAGTCTGAGTAAGATAGAGCCCTCATGTTTTAAATATTCTATTCCATGACATTTCCCGAGATTTTATCAGCCTCAAGAAACTCATGGTCCATGAGTTTTCCACAATGAAACAGAAATCCAAAACAGAAACAGACGCCTGACAATGTCTGGAGGCATTGGCTCATATGGTCTAGTTGCTGCCATTCCCCTTCAAATATCACAACTTTTCTTGTTTTCTCATCACACAGAAACATCTGTGAGTCTTGAGAGCCCCGAGTTTGGAGATGTGTCCTTCAGGTTGTGCTGAAAACCTAAATCATTTCTTCTTTAGTGCATCTCTTTCTATTGGTTCCTTTTCACATATTAATAAAAGAAACATGGTGGTACTTTTTGTTTTGCTTCAAAACCCCTTGAGCCAAATTGTGTCATAACTATGACTCTGCAATCTGCCAGGTGTGATGTTGCGAAAGATACTTAACTTCTTTTAGTCTGAATTTATACTTTGTGCTAATAGGAATATTGTTGCCATTCTTGCCAGGTTGTTGAGAGGAATACAGTGGACACAGGTCAAAAGTTGTAACCACAAGCTGAATCGATTCAATAGGTATAATTTCTGGTTTTTATGTTATCAACTTTCTGCCAAGTTTACTGTCTTTGATAACATGAGCCACCTTTGTTCCAGCAGCTCCTGACAATTTTCTCCCGTGCTTCACTAACCATTTCCTGGACTTCCTTCCAGTTTCCATTTATCCCAAAGCCAAATCTACATTATGTTTATTTTTGTGTTACAGCACCAACCCACTTCCAGGAAATAATTATGTTTTGGTTTCTATTGCTAAATAATAGAAAAACGTAGGGACTTAAGAAAATTATTTCTCACCCTTCTGTAGGTTGACTGAGCTCACGAGGGCAATTCTGTTGTCAGAAGATGACACCAAAGATATTGAAAAACTTTCCTTGAGCTGGATACTGTGGCACACGTCTATAATCTCAGTGACTCTGGAGGCAAAGGCAGGAGGATCACAAGTTCAAGGCCAACCTAAGCAACATAGTGAGACTCTGTCTCAAGAATAAGAAAGAGTAGGGATATAATTCAGAGGGAGAACACCCCTGGGTTTCATCCCCACTATGGAAAAAATAAATAAAAATACTTTTTTTAGATGCTGAAATGGATCATTCTACTCTCCCTGCAGTGACCTGTGATCTCTCCAATGGTAGCCAGATTTTTTTATATAGCCACTCTGTTTCCAAAATTAGAAGCTGCCAGATGCTTTAATGCATTGAGTCCCTAAAGCAAATTATCACATCCACTATGTTCTGTTGGTTAAATCGTCAAAGGAAAAGCCAAATTCAAGGGGAAGATAAGCTATGTCTCCCAAAGGGGAGTGTAAGAACAGAACTGTGGACATTTTGATCCACTCCAAATGGGCTTAAGAGAGATATACTTTAGAAAGAGGTTGATATCAGATACAGAACTCTGCATGTTGACTTGATTGGCAAAGATTTTGGCCACAGTACACTGGGTTCTTGCTAGAACAATGCATTTCACTAAGAACAGCTGCAACTATTGCTATTTTATGCAGATACATTTTCTCTGACTCATTTCCTAAGATAATAATCTTAGACATTAAGAAAAACAGACCTTTAATTTGTTTTTACTGAGGGAAAAGGGTTACCTTTTAAAGCAGAGATGTAAAATGGTAGATAAGACAACACATCCCCTGTTGCTGATAAAAAGCAAAGTGTCAAAAGGAACTGAAAACTAAAAACCAAGCACACTTCCAACTGAAAGGAACTGAAGATGGGTAGCACTGAATTTTTATAGCATCTATTTATGCCACACACTTCACTCACCAGGATGTATCACCTTTTCACATAATATTGCAAGACCAGGTGCCAGAAGCACTTCCCAAACAAACTCCTCCAGAAGCCTGGAACAATCCAGTCAATTGGCTATTCTTACATCTAAATGCTTCTCAACAAACAGAAGAAACAGTTTGACTATATCTAATTAAATAAATGACTTGGAAGTATTATCGGACTTGGGCAAAAGTCATGAATTGATTCATTCATTCAAAAATGTGTTACCAGATTCTGTTACCAGAAAAATGCTGCTTACAATTTCAAAATAAAAGCGAGATAAAAGTGGCATGGGAGAAGTGCCTCTAGTAAGAGTTGATTCGGAGGAGGGAATGGTGCCGTGGATAGTTCCCGTTCTCCCTGATGTGGACACGCAATGCTGTCAGCAGTACCACCAACTTGACCACTCTTCTGTTCTACAGTGGCTGACCATATCATGGTCATAAAAATTCATATCATGGGTAAATAGCACAACTAAAAGCTACCTGTATCGTTAGATTTGAAAATGCAAAATCTACTCTGAATTTTCTGTAATTGTCCTTCCTAACATAGATGCCACCAACACATTCACCTTTTATCTCAGCCACCAGGGGGCTCTTGGAAACATATCAGCAAGCTATATTATTAAGCCATAATCAGGACTGTTCTCCAAATAACTAGCTGGGAGTTGGTACAGAAGTCTAGAAGATGATGTCACACTATGGGAGGAAAACTTGATGTAAAAAATATCACCTCATTTATTCGATATGGTGGCCAAAGTGGAAAGAAGCAATCAATCTTCATTCTTAATAATCACTGTGGTTTTGATAAGTGTCCCCCAAAGGTCCTGTGTTTTAAGCTTAGTCTTGGGATGGCCCTAAGTGGAGGTGGTGGAAAATCTTAAAAGGAGGACCTAGTGGGACCTTGTGACTTTGGGTCACTGGGACATGCCCTTGAAGGAGTCTCTTGCTGCCTGGCTGTGTTGTAAGCAGTTTTGTTACACCATGCACTCTACACCACTGCATTCTGTACTCACACCACAGCCTTAAAAGCAGTGGGATCCACCTGATTATGGACTAGAACCTCCAAGACTATAAGCTGAAACAAAACTTTTCTTTCGTAAGTTGATTATCTCAGACACTTGTTATTGTGAGAAAAAATGACAAACACAACAATATTGAGCACTTATATCTATCTGCCTGTCATCATACCATGACACTAGGAATAAATTCATTCTGCTCCTTCGGACAACTTTGCAATAATGGCATCAATATTCCTATTCTCAAAGGGGAGAAATTTCAGCTAAAGGAGGCTAAAGTTCTTGCTTAAGTCACCTAGAATGTAAAGGTAGAATCATTCTCTAACCCAATTATGCCTGTCATAAAAGCCCTTTGGGTTTTTTTTATGTATATGAACCTTTATTTTATTCATTTATTTGATATGGTGCTGAGAATCAAACCCAGTGCCTCACACATGATAGGCCAGTGTTCTACCACTGAGCCACAAACCCAACCACAAAGCCCCTTGTTTTAGTCAGCAATTTGTGCTGCTGGACCCAACCAGAACAAGTGTAGGGAGAAAAAGTTTATTTAGGAGGCTCACAGCTTCAGAGATCTCAGTCCATAGACAGCAGGCTCCATTCCTCAGGGCTCAAGGTGAGGCTAAACATCATGGCGGAAGAGTGGGGCAGAGGGAAACAGATCACATTAGGAAGCAGAAAGAGAGGTATGCACAGTCAGTTACAAATATATACATGCCCCCAATTCCCACCTCCTCCAGTCACACTCTACCACTTCAGTTACCACTCAGTTAATCCTTTTTGGGGGATTAATTCACTGATTGGGTTAAGATTCTCACAACCCAGTCATTTCCCCTCTGAACCTTCTTGCATTGTCTCACATGTGAGCTTTGGAGTGACACATCACATCCAAACAATAACACCTTTACTGATTCTAATGCATCAAGCTGCTTCAAAATAAGGATTACAATTCAGTGACTACAGAGGAATACCATCTACATCAGATCAATAGGAACATGAAAGGCTTCCGGAAGCCCAGCAATTATATCTTGGTAGTTTGGTAGATGTATTCACTGAAATTTAAATTCGTTTATAAATTATAAGCTCTTAATGGACATTTCACACCACAGAAAAACACAAGGTAAACTATCTCCTTCTCCTCCCACAGCCAGTAAGTCTTGCAACATAGTTTAGAAGAAACCATTGTTTATGAAAGTCCTGTATATTTCCAGAAATTTTCCCTATCTGTAAAACCCTTTAAAAAATAGCGTTAAATTTAAATTATGTTACAATTATGTACATATTTTGTATTTCAATTATGTGTTAAATTTTCAAGCTTATGGTATTGTTCCTTGGAGTTTTTTAATCTAAGAAAATACTTTAACATTTTCCCACATGATCATTAATGGCTACATAGTATTTTGTCATATGTAAGCTCTGCAATTTGTTTTTTTGCTGAAATAATTTAGTTTCCATTTTTTAATTTGCTGTTACAAAAAAAAATCCATGCTGTATCCCCTTGTAGTCATGCTTTTTTGTGTGTGTGCATTCACACACAAAAGGAGATTCTAGCCAGGTGTGGTGGTACATTCCTGTAATGTAGGCGGCGGAGGCAGGAAGATCACAAGTTTCAGGCTAGTCTGGCAATTTAGTGAAATTCTGCCTCAAAATAAATTAAAAGGATTGGAGATGTAGCTTAATGGTAGACCATTTGCCCAGTATGCCCAAGTCCCTGCATTCAATCTCCATACCATTAAAAAAAAAAGAGAGAGAGAAAATCCCAGAAATGGGTTTCATAATCATGTTTAAATGGATTTCATAATCATGGATTTCATAATCAATGCTGTCATTCCAGCTGTAGGGACAGCTGAGACAGGAGGATCGCTGGTTTAAGGCTAGCCTCAGTTATTCAGTAAGGCCCTAAGCAACTTAATGAGACCCTGTCTTAAAATTAAAAAGGGCCTGGGAGACAGCTCAGTGGTTAAGCACTCCTGAGTTCAATCCCCTGAAGAAGGGTTGGGTCAGGGTGGAAGCCAGCAGGCCTTCAGGCAGACAAACTATGGCTGAAATGTAGAAGACAGACATAGAGTAAAGGGGATTCTGAGGGTAAGGGCCAGCTAGGAGCCATGGGGACAAAAATTAGGATAGAGAGGAAAAAATGTCGAGAACAAAAACTGATCATATGCATAGATGTGTACAAAGAAGATCGTGGAGCCTAAAACAACCTTTTCCGTCTTTTCTGCCCCTTACACCACCTGCTCTTCTATTACACACACATACATACACACACACACACATTCACAAACACTATATGTGTGCACACAAGATGTAGTCTGAGTATAATCTCCCCTTCCAATGAGTACTTTTCATGAAGTGTTGTGAGTCTTATTAATCCTTTCAGGCCTCATAATCTACCACATGGTAATGAGGGAGGGCAGGGCACTAATACTGCAGTCAATCTCTGGAAAGGCTTTGGAAACCCAGCAGAGGTCTCCAGAGAGCCATCAACAAAAGCAGAATTAGGAACAATGCCCTATAAAGTAGCTGACATTGCTGATCCAGATTTACACTAATGAAATATAATCATCTCTAAAATTTCAGTCATAAAATTATCATTACGTTTCTTGTACTAATTACCTTTATAAAAGTGATAGGGGTGATAATGGAACTGAAATACAGCAGGTAAGGAAGGAAAGCTCATTTTTTGCAGTCCTTCAAATTCCATATCCACCCTCCAACTAGATAAAATCATTCCTACATATTTATGACTAAGATGAGGAAGCCTGAGTCAAAACAGTATTAAGAAAAACAAAAGCAAAACCCAACCAACACAACAGAAAACGTAATAAAATCTCAATAGCTCCCTCTGCTGTCCAATTGTGTAATTTACTTTTTTGTTTTATATTATTTATCTTTCTGTAAATATCCAATAAGGAGCCTCATGAAGCTGGGTAATAAAAAAGTTCAGTTGATGAAATCCTTTCCACTTTATCCAAAACTGAAAGCATACTGCTATATCTTGAATAATGACCATCTTATTATCAAATTTTTAAATATATCATAGATGTATTCGATTTCTGAAGAAAGCTATCAATAACAACCACCCAAGATAACATCAATCTCTAAAAAATAAACTAATTTTAAAAAATAAAACTTAAGTTTTTGCTTGTTTAGCAATTTTGGTAACATGAAATTTGAAAGCTCAAATTAGGAACATAGCAAATTATTCTCCATAGGGTTAGCAAAGATTTTCTCAAGACTCCAAGATGCCAGGTAAGGTGCATTTCCATTTAACTCACTGAGCATTTAGGAGTAAGGGTAGTTCCCATTTTACAAATAAGAAAACAGAGGCATTTAATCATTTTGGTCAGTCAACAACTAAGGAATAGATTTGAGATATTATAGATTTTTTTTTCTCTTTTTTTTTTTTTTTTACTTTAAAGTGTGAATGAGAAAAATCTATGCTTAAAGTCCTGCTTCTGTCACTAAGTGAGAAATAAGCAGGATTAAGGCAAATTCTGCTGCTAGAAACTAACGCAAACCAGTGTGGTCATTTATTTTGTAAGTCTTTTGGAATGTTCAGGTCAGGAGGAAAACTGGTCAGTCTGGTATTTCTCAAACTTTGCATGGTATTGCTATTTTCCAGAAAATTGTTCCCTCTGGCAGATTCAGTTATTGAGTTGATGTCTGCATGAAAATCTGCCCCTTTTCAATGAAACTCTAAGGCTCAGAAAATAATTTTTATTCTTTGACCACCTTGCAGCCATCTTGATTTTTATGTTGTCAAAGAACAAGGTTACAAATAAATGTTTCCCTTCAGAATCAAAGTATCCTTCAAAGATTGTTTTAAAAATACTAATCAGGAGCTAGGCAGAGCACCCTGTACTCTCAGCTACTTGGAAGGCTGAAGCAAGACTCCTTGAGAAAGGAATTTTAGGTCAGCCTAGGTACAGTGAGACAGTCTCAAAAGAGAAAATGGACCAGGTGATGGTGCATACCCATAATCCTGCAGCTTGAGAGGATGAGGCAGGAATATCACAAACTCAAAGCCAGCCTCAGCGGAGCGAGGACCTAATAAGCAACTCAAAAAAAAAAAATTTTTTTTAAAGGGGTAGGAAATGTGACTCAGTGGTTAAGCACTCAGGGTTCAATATTTGGTACCAAAAAAGAAAAAATGAAAATAAAAATTTTAATTGGTAAACTACTCATTATTTTTGTAGGCATTAGATAAGGTGAAGAAATTACATGAAGAAAACAGAAAATCATTTATAACTAAAACTATTCCTTGTAATAAATGTGTC